TCTTCTATCCCTTCTGTAGCCATGTAGGAGCTAGAACAAACATTTATCGAGAGTTTGTTTATACAAGTTTTATCAGTTTTCTTTTGTTACATAAGAAATTACTATAAATTTAGTGATTAAGAACAATGCCCATTTACTTGTTCACGCTTCAGTGGGTCAGAAGTCTGGCATGGTGTGACGTGGTCACTGCTCAGAATGTCAGGTATCAGAAGGCTGAAATCAAGACATCAACCAGACTGAATTCCCCTCTGGAAGTCCTGGGGGAAAGGCTGCTTCCACGCTCATTCGGGTGGCAGAATTCAGTTCCCCTTCAAGTCTCCGACTTTTGCAACCAGCCAGAGAAAACTCGTTCCTCCTAAAGGGCTCATGTGATTAAGTCAGGCCCACTTACTAGTAGATAATCTCCCGATTGTAAGGTCAACTGAGTTGGGACCTTAATTACACGTGCAAAAGCCATTTACAGCAGTAGCTGGATTAGCATTTGATTGAATATGTGGAAGTGTGTGTGTACATCGGGAATCTTGGAGACCATCTTAGAATTCTGCCTACCATACAAGGGAAGCAGAATGCTAAGAAATTTGAATGTATATTCTCACTTAAGTCTTTCAATGACCCTATGGAGCAGATACCACTATTATTTCCATTTTATTGGTTAGGAAACTGAGACACAAGAGAAGAGTCTAAGCAGCTATTTTCACAACTCTCCATTGCTCTTGGAATTCCCTGTCTGTATTCGTTTAACTACATTCTGAATGGCTTTCCTACCTCCAAGATCTTCCTCCTCTGTTTTATCCTATATCCCTTGGCCAGACCAATGTTAGTTAAAAAAACATTTTCCCCCACCAGGTCACTTTCCTAGATATGGAGAATTATACATTGCTAGAGCAACAAAGAGGCATGAGTATAATGTACTAGAAACTGAACTTATGCCCAAATATGAGAATCTATTTAGCTGTATCCTTGGTAAAGATTTTATGATACTAACATAGAATTGTAAGGTGTGAGTGTTAAGGTGGCAGGAGGGAGGTGTGTGTGTGAGTGATTATAACACAAGGTATAGAGTGTGGATTGTATCTTTCCAGATCAGAAGGAAGAAGCAGGTATGAATAATACTGAACAATAAGACATAACAGGGCATTAGATTCAGAAGCAAATTTTATAGGTTAAATTGAAGTATAAGAAGTTTATTATATTGTAGAGTACATATATATGAAATATACTTAAACACAGAATAAATCTCATTTATTTTTAAGAGATGAGTAACTTTAGAAGCTTGGTTTCACTTGCTTATTCATTAATTTGTTCAGAAAATATTTATCGATTGTCACTTTGTATCAAGCACTGTACCAGCCAAATTAACTATTTTTTTCCTACTGTAGTACAGCTTCCTCACTGGTTTTCCTGCTCTCACTCTCACCTTGCACTCCTCTGCCCATCGCAGTCTATTAGCCACAAAGCAGCCAAAGTGATGCTTAAAAAATCCTATTTAAGGCCTAGACACTCTGTTGCTTAAAACTTTCGAATACATTTTTAACTAATTCAGAGTAAAATGCAAATTCCAGGGCCCACTATGTAGCCTAATAAGCCCTTCTCTACTCTGTATCCAGCCCCATCTCCTCTACTCTCCTTTTCACTCACTCCACTTCAGCAAACACTGTCCTCTTTCCCATGTTCCCTGGACATGGCGGGCATGTGTCCACCTCCGGCTTTCACATGGGCTGATATTCACACATCAACTTAGAATGTTTCCCCCCAGAAAGCTACTCTTTTATTTCATGCAGATTGTTTACTCAAATGTGATCAAAAGGACCCTCCTTTGCCACCTGAGACAAAATATCATGCCCCTCCTCTCTACTTTTTCTTTTTCTATTTTTCTTTCCAGCACAAACCTGGTGCATATGCTTTAAAAAAAGTATCGTAGTTGACTTGTCCCCTCCCTACTGGGATGTGAGTTCCTGAAAAGAAGGGCTTTTATTTTCTCTACTATATTCTAGTGACTGGAACAGTGTCTGACACATAGGAGGTACTCATACATGTTGAATAAATGAAATGAATGTAAATTCACTTATTTCTTTGTGGCATTTGTTTTCTTAAATACTGAAATAAAAATATTATTAAACCATTTCAATGAAATAGTATGGTTTTATATTTTCCACATGTTTTTTATGCCTTCTTATTTACCCACATCCCAAAGAACAACGCACTCGGGGGTGGGGGGGAGGTAGGCGGGCAGTGGGAAGAGCATTTTCCAACAGAATGGTGCTGGGACAGACCAATAGCAGTGGAAATCAAGTCATGGAATTTGCAATTTTTAAGCACCTCAGCAAATAGACTGTCTTGACAGCTTAAATGCCAACAAACACAACTGAATGTGGTTGCAGAACAATCAGGTTTCAGCAGAGTCCTTTCAAAATGACACATCCAACCGGCTGGGAGAGCTTTCAGACAGCAGGACTGAGTGTGGCAGCCAGGAATCCTCCCGAGAGTGGAGGCATGGCTTCCAGCCACTCCCTACTCAGTGTGATTGAGAAATACAGCTTCCAACCCCACAATGTACTTGATGTCTATGGTGCCTTCCCCCCACAGCTTGAAATTTCCTGATGTTGGTGATAAGTCAGTTAGTGATAAGTCAACTGACAGTTCTCAGTGTACTAACACTCACTCTATAAAGAAGTTCTGAGGCTGAATGAAAGCTACTTTAAGGATCTCAATAGTCTCACTCCTAATATACCAGATAAGAGTATGTACAGTAATTTTTTAAAATTGCTACACTCAGAATGCAGAAATGAAGTTTAATAATTGCTACACTCAGGATGTGGTAATAAATTTTAATAATTTGAAATATAACTGAGAATTCAATTGTGTGGGGGTGTAGTCATCTGATTAAATTTATACTTCATATGCAGTCAATCCCAGTTCATACAAAAGTAACAAGCCAAACCATAGTTGAAAAGAAGTCAAATGTGTGATGTTTATGAGACTCACTCCTGGGAAGGAACATTTGGATAGATTTATAAAAGGTTTCTATCTTTCCCCCCCTTCTCCTTGAATGTGTGTGTGCATAAATACAAATGCAAAATTTGACTTTATCTTTGAAAATTACCCTTTTTGATTTCTGAAGGCATTGGTAAAAAACCAATCAAACAACCAAGCCAAACGAAACTCCCCAGGTTTTCGCTGAAGAAGGTCTAGGTCAGTGGTTCTCAACCTTGGCTGCACATTAGAATCACCTGGGAACCTTTTTAAAATCCTGATTTCTGGGCCTCATCCTCCAGAAATTCTGTTTCTTTGTTACTAATGTTGTGGCCTCGCCCCATTACAAAGAAACAGAATTTCTGGAGGATGAGGCCCAGAAATCAGGATTTTAAAAAGGTTCCCAGGTGATTCTAATGTGCAGCCAAGGTTGAGAACCACTGGTCTAGGTTCAAATGCAAGTTTTGTTAATGGGACACTTAATGTTCTGGGTAAGTCACTTATCCTCCCTGAAGCTTAGCTTCCTGAACACTAATGGGTTATTCATGATTGACATCTCCAAATAGTTCTGAGAATCAAATAAGATAATGTGAAAAAGCTTTGAAAGCTGCTTTACAAAAGTAAGGATTGTAATTTCTTTCTTTTTAAAAAATCTTTATTGTTGCAAGTATTATATATGTCCCTTCCCCCCCGCCCCATTGACCTCTCCCAGGTCACCCCTGCCCCCTAGACCAGGCCTTCACCCCCCTATTGCCTATATGTGTCCATTGGTTATGCTTATATGCTTATATGCATACAAGTTCTTTGGTTGGTCTCTATCTTCTCTCTTCCCCCACTTCCCTCTGTCCCTGCCTACTCTCCCCTTCCTTCCCTCTGAGGTTTGATGGTCTGTTTAATGCTTCTATGGCTCTGTATCTTTGTTCATCAGTTTATGATGTTCATTATATTCCGTCTTTCTGATTTCTTAGGATATATTCCTAGAAGTGGGATCACTGGGTCAAATGGGAGTTCCATTTTTAATTTTTTGAGGAAACTCCATACTGTTTCCAGAGGCTGCACCAGTTTGCATTCCCACCAGCAGTGCATGAGGGTTCCCTTTTCTCCACATCCTCACCAACACTCTCTGAGGTGATTAGACTTGAACTTTGAACTTTAAGTCATAGGCAAAGAGTTGGGACCTCATTTGTCCTTTTGAAAAATTGAACATCAGAACACCAATTCCCTGGTGGGGAAAATCCTGAGCAGTAAAAAAAGAACTCACAGCTCTGTGGCAAGGGACTGAAAAATTCAGTCTGATACAAAATATAGAACTCAAATTCAAGGGAAAACCTACTCTACCAAAAGAAGAAATAGGACGCTAAATCGGGACTC